GGGCTAGAGTTGGCTCCGGGCACCCAACATGTAGCCTGGGAGTGGTGTTCGGGGAACACGAAGAGCGCAAAGTGGCCTACAGTTGGCTCCGGGCACTCACGATGTGGCCCGGGAGTGGTGTTCTGGCAAGATGCATCGTGATTCTGGACAAGAGTTTCGCACTGTCCAACGTTATGATTTGTTGTGTCCTAGCCTGGCTAGGACGAAACGAACATGAAAGCCACGAAAGAATGTTTGTATATTCTCATTTAAGAAACTTCAACGTTACGAACGGCGTCGTTTTTGTAAGGAAGTCCTGCACCAGAGCTCCAAAAAGGCATTCATAACGTTGGAAAGTTTAACCCTATCGCATTTCGTGGCTTTCATGTTCGTTTCGTCCTAACCAGGCTAGGACACAACAAATCATAACGTTGGAAAGTGCGAAACTCTTGTCCGGAATCACGATGCATCTTGCCAGAACACCACTCCCGGGCCACATCGTGAGTGCCCGGAGCCAACTGTAGGCCACTTTGTGCTCTTCGTGTTCCCAGAACACCACTCCCAGGCCACATCTTGGGTGCCCGGAGCCAGCTCTAAGTCATGTTGTGCTTTGCTTTGCGTTGCTTTGCATTGCTGAGACCTCTGAAACCTGCGACACCTGTCGGTCCTGTGGGACCTGCGAGACTTGCGAAACTTGTGGGACCTGTGAGACCTACGACACCCGAGGAGCTTGCAACACCTGCGGGACCTGGGGGACCCCTGAGGACCTGTGGGACCCGTGGGACCTGCAAGACCTGTGGGAATGGTGGGACACGCAACACATGTGGGACCTGCGGGACCAGTGGGACTTGTCGGACCTGCCACACTCGTGGGACCTGGGGGTCGTCTGTAGTCCGTGGAACCCTGTGGGACGCCTGGGAGCCAGCCGAAGCAACGCGTGAAAGCGACAGGCATTTGAGGGTGGCAGAAGCGAAGTGTGTCGGAAAATGTGCGAACTTAGCGTAGTCTTGGGGCCCGTAACAGCGTAGTCCTTGGGGCCCGTAACAAAATGGCAGGGCATTCCAGCAACGCTAACTTAGTATCCCTTATGCGCTACTTACGTGATATTGAATAAACGAATAGTAGCCAGCGTGGCCCCTGAACGCCGATGTCTTGCAATCCACGCGGTGCAATCTAGGCGGTGCAACGCATGCTATGCAAACTAGGTAGCGCAAGCCACGCGGTGCACTTCATGCAACGCACAGCAACGCCAAGCAACGCTAAGCAGTGCAAAGCAACGCAAAGCAAAGCACAACATGGGCTAGAGTTGGCTCCGGGCACCCAAGATGTGGCCTGGGAGTGGTGTTCTGGGAACACGAAGAGCACAAAATGTGCCTACAGTTGGCTCCGGGCACTCACGATGTGGCCCGGGAGTGGTGTTCTGGCAAGATGTATCGTGATTCCGGACAAGAGTTTCGCACTGTCCAACGTTATGATTTGTTGTGTCCTAACCTGGCTAGGACGAAACGACCACGAGATGCGATAGGGTTACAACTTTCCAACGTTATGAATGCCTTTTTGGAGCTCTGGTGCAGGACTTCCTTACAAAAACGACGCCGTTCGTAACGTTGAACTTTCTTGAATAAAAAATGCTTGTATATTCTCATTTAAGCATTGCCAACGTTACGAACGGCGTCGTTTTTGTAAGGAAGTCCTGCACCAGAGCTCCAAAAACGCATTCATAACGTTGGAAAGTGGTAACCCTATCGCACTTCGTGGCTTTCATGTTCGCTTCGTCCTAGCCAGGCTAGGACACAACAAATCATAACGTTGGAAAATGCGAAACTCTTGTCCGGAATCACGATGCATCTTGCCAGAACACCACTCCCGGGCCACATCGTGAGTGCCCGGAGCCAACTGTAGGCCACCTCGTGCTCTTCGTGTTCCCAGAACACCACTCCCAGGCCACATCTTGGGTGCCCGGAGCCAGCTCTAAGTCATGTTGTGCTTTGCTTTGCGTTGCTTTGCATTGCTGAGACCTCTGAAACCTGCGACACCTGTCGGTCCTGTGGGACCTGCGAGACTTGCGAAACTTGTGGGACCTGTGAGACCTACGACACCCGAGGAGCTTGCAACACCTGTAGGACCTGGGGGACCCCTGAGGACCTGTGGGACCCGTGGGACCTGCAAGACCTGTGGGAATGGTGGGACCCGCAGCACATGTGGGACCTGCGGGACCAGTGGGACATGTCGGACCTGCCACACTCGTGGGACCTGGGGGTCTGTAGTCCGTGGAACCCTGTGGGACGCCTGGGAGCCAGCCGAAGCAACGCGTGAATGCGACAGACATTTGAGGGTGGCAGAAGCGAAGTGTGTCGGAAAATGTGCGAGCTTAGCGTAGTCTTGGGGCCCGTAACAGCGTAGTCTTGGGGCCCGTAACAAAATGGCAGGGCCTTCCAGCAACGCTAACTTAGTATCCCTTATGCGCTACTTACGTGATATTGAATAAACGAATAGTAGCCAGCGTGGCCCCTGAACGCCGACGTCTTGCAATCCACGCGGTGCAATCTAGGCGGTGCAACGCATGCTATGCAAACTAAGTAGCGCAAGCCACGCGGTGCACTTCATGCAATGCACAGCAACGCCAAGCAACGCTAAGCAGTGCAAAGCAACGCAAAGCAAAGCACAACGTGGGCTAGAGTTGGCTCCGAGCACCCAAGATGTGGCCTGGGAGTGGTGTTTTGGGAACACAAAGTGGCCTACAGTTGGCTCCGGGCACTCACGATGTGGCCCGGAGGTGGTGTTCTGGCAAGATGCATCGTGATTACGGACAAGAGTTTCGCACTGTCCAACGTTATGATTTGTTGTGTCCTAGCCTGGCTAAAACGAAACGAACATGAAAGCCACGAGATGCGATAGGGTTACAACTTTCCAACGTTATGAATGCATTTTTGGAGCTCTGGTGCAGGACTTCCTTACAAAAACGACGCCGTTCGTAACGTTGAACTTTCTTGAATAAAAAATGTTTGTATATTCTCATTTAAGCATTGCCAACGTTACGAACGGCGTCGTTTTTGTAAGGAAGTCCTGCACCAGAGCTCCAAAAACGCATTCATAACGTTGGAAAGTGGTAACCCTATCGCACTTCGTGGCTTTCATGTTCGCTTCGTCCTAGCCAGGCTAGGACACAACAAATCATAACGTTGGAAAATGCGAAACTCTTGTCCGGAATCACGATGCATCTTGCCAGAACACCACTCCCGGGCCACATCGTGAGTGCCCGGAGCCAACTGTAGGCCACCTCGTGCTCTTCGTGTTCCCAGAACACCACTCCCAGGCCACATCTTGGGTGCCCGGAGCCAGCTCTAAGTCATGTTGTGCTTTGCTTTGCGTTGCTTTGCATTGCTGAGACCTCTGAAACCTGCGACACCTGTCGGTCCTGTGGGACCTGCGAGACTTGCGAAACTTGTGGGACCTGTGAGACCTACGACACCCGAGGAGCTTGCAACACCTGTAGGACCTGGGGGGCCCCTGAGGACCTGTGGGACCCGTGGGACCTGCAAGACCTGTGGGAATGGTGGGACCCGCAGCACATGTGGGACCTGCGGGACCAGTGGGACATGTCGGACCTGCCACACTCGTGGGACCTGGGGGTCGTCTGTAGTCCGTGGAACCCTGTGGGACGCCTGGGAGCCAGCCGAAGCAACGCGTGAATGCGACAGACATTTGAGGGTGGCAGAAGCGAAGTGTGTCGGAAAATGTGCGAGCTTAGCGTAGTCTTGGGGCCCGTAACAGCGTAGTCTTGAGGCCCGTAACAGAATGACAGCCGTGGATGTAAAGAATTAACGCGAACCCCATCCGTAAGATTGAATTCCGCCATTCAAAAATATGGAACGCAAGCTAAGCATGAACGGCCCCAGGTTGAAAAAAATGTTTCCGTGTTTCGCGTTTATTGTTTACATTTTCGCGGGCAGCTGCCGATCTTGCCCTACCTGGAACTCGCGGCCTTTGAATGGCGAAATCCAATGTTATGAATAAGTTTCGCGTTAATTGTTTACATCCACGGTAGTAGTAGTAGTAGTAGTAGTAGTAGTAGTAGTAGTAGTAGTAGCAGCAGTAGTAGTAGTAGTAGTAGTAGTAGTAGTTAGTAGTAGTAGTAGTAGTAGTAGTAGTAGTAGTAGTAGTAGTAGTAGTAGTAGTAGAAGTAGTAGTAGTAGTAGTAGTAGTAGTAGTACTAGTACTAGTACTAGTACTAGTACTGGCACTGGTACTGGTACTAGTACTAGTACTAGTAGTAACCGGTGTAGTAGTAGTAGTAGTAGTAGTAGTAGTAGTAGTAGTAGTAGTAGTAGTAGTAGTAGGAGTAGGAGTAGCAGCAGTAGTAGCAATAGTGGCGGCAATGATAGCACTCGAATTTTCATCTCTAGAAATGATTTTTGTTGTTTCTCCCAGAGCTCGCTCCTCTTTTTTCTTTCAAACAATGAGATGTAGCCTAATCGTGTCTGCGCCCACCGGTTTCCGTGTAATGACAGTGGGAAGGGGGGGGGCCGCCTCGGCAAACAAATCGGTGAGCCTCCCCCCCCTTTCATGGGGGAGGGGTGTCTGTTCCCCCGTATCGACCCCACCCTCCGGCGTCGTTGTTGCTGGGTATTGCTCTATCTTTCAACAAGGGTCCCCAGAAGCCCAAACCCTTTCCCCAGGCCCACCTGCTCATCCTGAGTCGTTCATTGATAATGCTGGGGCCCGAAGGCCGAACATAGTAGAAACCTTCCGTCGTAATCCTTGAGACCGGATGTATCGATAATGGCATCGTGAAGGTTGCGCTCCATCGTGCGGCGGCATCTTTCGAGCCAGATCGATCTACAAGGGCCCCACGGCCCGAAAGAGGGCGAAACCGCCCAGTGTGAACAGAGCTGCGCCGCCAGGATCCTGGGGCCCAGCGAGGGCCCCCAGAGGCGGAGGGCGGCCAAAAACCTTCCGCCGCGACTGCTCCGCAGCAGCGAGCCGCTTCGAGCGCAGGGCGCGGCGCCGCGCGCGCCGTCCTGCAGCTCGTCCAGCTGGCGCTGCGCAAGGTCCCCCCGCCGTCGGACGCCGTCCTCCGCCCCACCCCGCCAACTGTTGAGGGGCAGCGATAGAGGCGAATAGCAGAGGGGGTCCAGGAGCGCCGATGGTCCAGGTTTTCTGGGAAAGACCCCTGCGAATACCTGCCTGGGCCAGTGCCTCTCCTCCTCCTCTTCTTCTGCTCCTCCTCCTCCTCCTCCTCCTCCTCCTCCTCCTCCTCCTCCTCCTCCTCCTCCTCCTCCTCCTCCTCCTCCTCCTCCTCCTCCTCCTCCTCCTCCCTCCTCCTCCTCCTCCTCCTCCTCCTCCTCCTCCTCCTCCTCCTCCTCCTCCTCCTCCTCCTCCCTCATCCTCCATTCATCTTCCTTATAGATAACTCCTCCCTGTCACACCCCGAGGCTGCTCGAAAGGGCGAGCCGGGCGTTTCGCCGGAGGCTGCCTCACCATTTAAGACCCTGAGGCTAAAAATTGAACAGCTTCACAGATGGAGGGCGGATCGTTTTGAAAATGTGGCTCACGCCTTAGCGCCTCGCATATTCTTTCTACAAGCTCGCAAGAGCTTCACGGATTGAGGGCGGATCGTTTTCAAGCTCTCGCATTCGCGCCGCACGCATTCGTTGTTTAAAAAATGAACCAGGTTCACGGATTGAGGGCGGGTGGTTTTCAAAATGTGGCTCTCGCAAGAGCTTCACGGATTGAGTGCGGCTCCTTTTCAAAATATGGTTTTCGCTTTACCACCGCGAACATCCCTTAGACTGAACCAGGTTCACGGATTGAGGGCGGCTGGTTTTCAAAATGTGGCTCTCGCCTTGTCGCCGCGCACATTCGTTTTCAAAACCTGCTAGGGCTTCACGGATTGAGGGCGGTTCGACTTCAATCTGTGGCTCTCGCCATAGCGCCGCGCACATTCGCTTCACAAATTGAAAGAGCTGCACGGATTGAGCGCGGGTCTTTTTCAAAATGTGGCTCTCACCTCAGCGCCGCGCACCTTCGTTTTAACCACTTTGCAAGAGTTTCACTCATTCTCATGGTTAACGTACCAGAAGCGGTGTTTTGGAACGATTCAGGATTTTCAGGGCGCAACAATTATGTTGATTCGCAGTGTTGAAATTCCAGGAATGGTGTTCTGGCACGACAAAGGATCGCCAAGACGTAACAGTCAGGTGAACTCGTGGCGTTGCTGTCCCGAGAATGGTGTTCTGGCACGCTTGAAGATGTTCATACGGTTGTCCCCCAACTGGGCATGGAAATGACCCCTTGTAGGGGCATATGAAAAGGAATATTGGAGGCAGGGTGTATGTAAACATCGTTGATGGGTCTTGGGTTTACACTGGTCCTCCTCCTCCTCCTCATCCCTCTCCTCCTCATCCTCCTGCTGCTCCTCCTCCTGCTCCTCCTTTCCTCCTCCTCCTCTTCTTCCGCCTTCCCTCCACCCCTCCGCCCCCCCCCCCTTTCCCTCCCTCCCTCCCATGAGGGGCAACTCCGGGGGGACCGGCTCAGGGCGGGAAACATCGACCTGGAATCGGCGATGCATTGACGAGAAATCGACCAGGCAAGCCACCCGCTCGACCAAAACGCGCAGGCGCGGTCATGCTTCGAGGCTGCTCCCCGCGCCAGCCGACGCGAAAGCACGCCAGGGAAGCCCACCCCGCGTGGACTGCAACATTTGCTGACCAACAGTGTTCCTCCTCCTCCTCCTCCTCCTCCTCCTCCTCCTCCTCCTCCTCTTCCTCCTCCTCCTCCTCCGCAGTTTCCCCTCCTCTCCTTCCTGACCCTACTCCCTCGTCCTGGCTCTCCTCCTCCCTTCCCTCCCGTGGCCTCGGACGAGACACCCAGGATGCCCCACCGAACTTCGTCCCTGCGCGCCAGCTCCACAAGTCTTCCCGATGCCAAACTACTACTCACTTGGGCTGCTGGCGCTGCTGCTCGTCAGCCTCAGCTCCCCCCATCGTCAGGGCGACGAGAGGCCCTACGAGGCAAAATTCCGACCTCCTCACTCCTCCATCCTCCTCCTACATCCTGCCTCCTCCTCCCTCCTCCTGCCTGCTCTTGCCTGCTCTTGCCTCCTCCTCCTCCTCGTCCTCCTCCCTCCATTCCTTTCCCGTTATACATAACTTCTCCCTGTCGCACCCGGGAGCCAGATTTAGGGCGGGCCAGGCGTTTCGCCTGAGACTTTCTCATCATGTCTGACCCGGAAGTTTTAACAAAAAACAGCAACAATTTCACACATGGAGGGCGGGTTGTTTTCAAAATGTGGCTCTCGCCTTAGCGCCACGCACATTCATTTAACAAAATGGCACGAGCTTCACGGATTGAGAGCGACCCGTTTTGAAAATGTGGCTCGCGCCTTAGCGCCGGGCACATTCGTTCAAATCTTTCAAAAGCTTCACGGATTGAGGGCGGAGCCTTTTCAGAATGAGGTCCTCGCCTCAGCGCCGCGCACATTCGCTCAAAAATTGAAAGACTTTCACGGATTGAGGACAGTTCCTTTTCAAAATGTGGCTCTCGCCTTAGCGGCGCGCATACTCGTTTTCAATATTTGCAAGAATTTCGCAGATTCCCATGATCAGCGTACCAGAAATCGTTTTCGGGGAAGGATTCAAAGCATGAGGGTGCAACAGTTACGTTGATTCGCGGCGTTGAAGTCACAGGAATGGCGTTCTGGCACGATTTCGGATCGTCAAGACGCAACTATCAGGTTGATCCGTGGCGTTGGAATCCCGAGAACAATGTTTTGGCATGCTTCAAGGTCTTCAAACGGTTGTCTTCCACCGAGGCAGTTCCCTCTGTGGAAATGAACCGTTGTAGGGGCCTCTGTAGAGGGAGCTTGGAGGGAGGGCTGATGCCAACATCGTTAATGTCTCCTGGGTTTATACTGGTCCTCCTCCTCCTCCTCCTCCTCCCTCCTCCTCCTCTCTCTCTCTCTCTCTCTCTCTCTCTCTCCGCAGCCGCTGAACGCGGTCCACGCGCCCCACGGGCCCACGTGCCGCACAAACGCGCGAGGGCCACCGACCACCACGCACCCCCCGGCATCCACCCGGCGGGGCTCGCGCTGCGCGCTGCGCGCAAGCCCTTCGACTCGGCGACGAGCGCAAACCTCGCCCTCGGCGCGCTTGCCGCCGGTCGGCGAGGAAGCCATCGAAGCCCACCGCGCGCACCCAGGCAGCGCGCAGGCCACTGGGCCCGCGCCGTCACGGGGCTCGTCTGTCACCGCTCGTGGCGGAGCGCCGAGGCCTTCTTGGAGACGGCCTTGCCAGCCTCCCCCTTGCCTCGGCGCGGCGCCACAGCGCGGACCCCCTCGCCTGTGGGAACCTGGCCCACGCATTCTGCCTTCATCACGACGTGGTTATACGCATCTCGCACAGGAGGTCTTGCTGGCATGAGCCACTCGTGGGGAGCGCGACCGCGAGAACAGCAGAAGTGCGCGAAACATGGCCCACTCCACTGTTTGAAGTGCCGCTTGAGCCACCACGGCTGTGGACCACCTCCATCGAAGTTTTGTCCTACCTGTTGGAGCTGGGCGATGCTCCGAGTCGCCTGTGTGTCCAGATGTGCCGCATTTTCATCATACTGAGCTGCTGGCAGCAAAACTGTGACTCTCCCACTAGAAAGCCGACGCCAAGAGACACTCATTATTACACCTGGGTCCCAGCCATCACTTGTCAGTTGCGGTATTGCTGTTCTTATATACTCCCCAATTCTGGCCAAATTCCTGGGGCCCCGGGCACTGACAGAATACAAAGCCATACTTCCGGTCCTGCCTCATACCTCTTCCTCCTCCTCGTCCTTCCTCCTTCTTCTCCTTCCTCGACGAACCTGGCACAAGAATGCGTTTCCTATTCCTCCTCCTCATCAT